CGAGAATTAACACTTATTTTTATTCCATTGCCTTTTGGGATTAATTTATCATCAGTTTGAGTAATTGGTGGTATTATCACGTTCCGATAAAATGTTAGAATCCAAAATGATTGACCTTCCAAAATGGTGGAATTAACGACGTCTTATCAAATGACGTCATACGACCCCAAGACCAAAAGATAACATCACACTCAATCTCCTTCGCAGGCCTTCTCTATTCTTTGTAGAGCTGTATGATAGCTAACCATTAAACGCAAAATCACTTTGATAGCCCTATGAAAATTGCATTGGAATCAAAAATGGACTGGTCCGGTCTAACAGTTATTTTTATTATTATTTTTTTTAATATTCGTCATTGTTTTCCCCCAAAAGCACCTAGGCTTATCAAGGGGGGATCACAATATTGGAGCATTTACTTTTACTGCAATTTACAATTCCAGCCTTTAATGCTTTCAAAACTAAGTTATTGACGAAACAACAGCATTCGACTATGTCTGTCTGCCAAAAATAAGATTCTCGGATGGCCGACTAAGTGACATAATTTCCCCGCCCTCGTGTGTTATCATAACTGACATAGAGCTCTTGTCTTACACTGCAAGTTAAAAAGCTATCTGCTACAGGCAAAAAGATAATAGTGCGGCTCCTTGTTCATTAAATATTGTATTGTAGAGTTGCTTCCAAATGTTCAATGTAAGGTCTGCTCGTAGCATGTTTAACATTGCACTTTTTGTGAGCTCAATTATGCTCGAAATGGATTCAAAACCTTCCATTTCCGTGTCATGTAATCATAGACATGCAGGCAGACCACAAAGAACATGATGTGGTCATCCTGGAAACAAGACATACAATGTAAACGGGAAAATGAAACAGGTAAACAAATTTGGCTTATCTCAAAGATAGGACTGCGGTCATAAATAAGTAAAATCTCATATTTCTTTAAGAACGACGCGATTGGCCCGTTATCGTAATTACGGAGAATCGCTGTGATAGCCTAAATCAATTCATTTTCAACGGGCTAGCGGTCTCATAAATGCTTGAAATTACTTTTTCTCTTTTTCTGTAAAGGACTATTGACAGATCCCCCTTACTTACTGGTAAGCAAGCTTTATATAATATCGACTGAGCTTTCATTTTGAACTATCGTACCCTTTTGTCAAATGCATCCGTAAGATTTAGTTCTTTCGTGGGGCCAGTAATACAACAAGATTTCTTTATCACGCCAATCGTAACCCTCGCTTAAGGACGGATTGTTATTTTTTTCAACAAATACTTCAAGAGAGCATCATTTGAAGACTTTTGCATGGTACAAGTAATAAAAACGTGTAAGATTGTACGTTCCCATTCCAAACAAGTCAGTAAAGCATGGCATTACTAGGATACTTGTATTGAAACAGTCAGTATGCCTGCAGCTGATGTCATATTTATTTGTTAACATTTATTTATGTACACGGAGAAATGGAACTGATAATGACGATTTATTCAAACGTGATATGTTTTAAGATCTAGATACTTACGTTCCTGGTGAAAACTGAAAGCCTAAGACTTTTTGTTCACATGTACTTAGGCTGAGATGTATCACGCAACTTTCAGATTTAAAAGGTGTAGAAAACTTTAATGATCGCTCGATATTGCACTTGACAACAGACGACGAAAACAGCTTCAAGGAATGCATTATTATTTTTATTTTTTATATATATAGTTTTAAGTCGAAAGAAAGCGAGAACATAAACGACTTTCGAAACCCGCACGTTTTTTTTGTTTTTTTTTCTCGGTTCTCTAGAACATCCGGTTTACAAGCTCTGAAACTTCGCAAAAAGCCTGCGGCATGGCAGGTGACGTTTCTTATGAAGTCAAAAAAGACAGCAAGGAGAGGCAAACACCTAAGGAACTGGTAAAAGATTTCTGCAGCTACACAACTACACATGGAGTTGGAAGACTGGCTGAGGCCAAAACGCTGTTCAGCCGATCGATATGGACAGTTTTTATCCTTGGAGCCTTCGCTATGTTCTTCTATCAGACGTACGGTTTGTTTACTTTATACCTAAGTCGTCCTGTATCCACGGTGGTGAAAGTCAGGCACAAAACGGTGGGTAAACACATTATGCAAAGTGGCTCATAACTTTTTTAACTGTTATTACCAGATTAATGAATTGGCAAAGAACACATTGGAGGCAATTAGAAAGAGTTCACATGACGTCTGGGACACATATTAAACATTTATTCGTAATAAGTATACTGCATTGAAAGGTATTGATGTTTAAAATTACCCGACCTTTACAACAATGTGACTGTCAAGTTTACTTTTCAGTCACATATTTCTATAAATCTAGCTGCGAGGCGTAAATTCAAAACAGGAGCATTAAAGGGCCCCGCAGTCAGCGACGCTTTTGTTTTTGTTCACATGCGAAAGTTTGGCTATTATATTTAATTCGCAACATGTCGAAACGAAGAAAACAGTCACTGTGGAAGTCTAAAGATGATTAAACATACCTTCAGAAACACAACTTACAGTAAAGCAATAAGATCTCGCTTCACCATGCCATGTCAATAATTTCGATGCATGGCATTGAAAATGGGGGAGGGTGACTTGGGTCCTTTAACTTATAACTTGGCAACGAACTCGACTCGACAGTCCGAGAATAAACTCCAGAACTGTTGAAAAATATATACTATATATACTGTCCATACTTTTCTTTTTATTTTGTCTATTCGAAAATGTTGCCAATTAATGGCGACAAAACTCGTATACGGAGTCTTGCTGGGTTATTCCCCACAAACGACTTGCCCGCATCGCCAGGCGTACGGAAGGGTTATCGCGGAGTATTTTCAGCAAATAAAACATTTAAACCAGTCTTCCTGAAATGTCCAGTTTTAGCCCTTTTTAAATTATTTCCGGATATGACTTATTTCCTCAAAGGAGACGGGATTTTAAAGCTCGATCAGAGAACAAAGACACTTACTATACTGAGCAATACAAAATAGTAGTCTCAAAAGTAAACTGAAAAGATAAAATATACTACCGTTTACTACTATACTACTTTTTTTACTGCGTTGCTCGTTCCTAGAGAATGATCTCAGCCATTAATTTTTTTTTTTCGTGATCAGATTTATAAACATAAACATTTCGTTGAATGCCCACCATAAATTGAATATCGTGAATGAATGCAAAAGCCAATGAGCTAAGCGTTGTTTAAGTTCAAAAAAGGAAAACAAAAGAATACAAAGATAGAGCTTAGTAGGAGTCTAAGAAAATCGGCCTTTATTGATTATCGGCCAACAACGGGCGACAAAAGCTGTCGTTTTGTTGAAATAAAACAGTAGCAGTAGTACAATGACATAGCCAGACTCACCAAAGGCATTTTTCAATGGGAGAATCGTTGCTGGCATCATTGTTTACACTTACGACTTTGCACAGAGAAGGCATCCTGCTAGACGCGAATTGACTACAGAAATCTGAAAAGCTCATGAAACTTATTAAACGGCCGGTGAAAGTTCTGGCTATTAGGGTGTAATATTCGAGAAAAAATTGGCTTTCAAATAAATGCAAAATTTCTTGGTGGCAAAAGCGATAAAGTGCTCATACACTCCTTGTAAAATTTTGAGTTTTTAAACCCGCGTCGCGCAAAAATTATTCAAAACATCTGGCCAGCTTTAATTCCTTGGGACAGTTAATCGTGCTGCGCCCTTTCAATATTCACAACTAATGTTTTTGTAGCTCCATCAGAAACTATATCGCTTATGCTTATGATGCAAATATTGTCAACAAAGATGCTCTTATTTACACGTAGGCTCTGTATGTTGTGTGAGTCCATAACGAGATACTTGACTAAGTGAGATTCCTATATTTATTCTCTACAAAAGTAGATTTTTTTTTTTTTTTTTACACCAACAGGAGGTACAATTTCCGGCTGTTACCATTTGCAATCAGAATGCCATAAAAGACAATGAAATACCGGACCATTACATAGACGATATATTCAAGGAAATTTATGAGGTTCTCGATGAGGAGATGAAAAGCGATGAGAAAGATACAGGTAATGTACGACGTCACGATTGTCTTGATGTTTTGGTCCGCTTGAAATTGTCGTTTCATGTTCAGTTCTATTCATATAGAACTTCAAATTGACCTTTTCATATATGTGTAGTTTCAGATCAATTTTGAACATTTCATTTGTAGGCGATGATGTCACACCTACTCCAGATTTTCAGAATGATATCGATGACACAGAAAACAATGGCACCGACGAATTATTTGATCCAGAAGAGGAACTCAGAATTGATTACCTTTTTCAAGAATTTCTCCTGTCCTATTTAGCTTTGGAGAACCAAACAGCGTTGTATAAGATGGGACACAAATATAAAGACTTTGTGTTTGACTGCAACTTCAGAGGGATTGATTGCAGGTGTGTCATAGAGTATGACTCTTACAGTCTCTTAACCCATTGACACCTGTGCCGGCCATGACCGGCCGTGACGAGCGTTGGCCTTACAGACTAATAGTTCCTCCGTAATAAAAAGGGTAGAGATTAGTGCACCCCTCCAAGTTGTGTTCAAATAGGAAAAAACAACATTTTTGTGTTAATAAATAGACAGTACCGGCTTTCTATACAAGATAGACTGCTTTTGACTTAAGTGGTTTCTCATCATGTCATTGAATCTGCTTCTTGGATTTTACAATATTTCTCAAGAAGTCAGAAAAAAAACTTAAATTGACACAAATTATTACAAAATGTTGAAAAAAGGTGCTACATGTAGCTAAATCAGGAATACTGTCAAAAAAAGGTATTTGTATAGACGGGGGTGTGAAAATGTCGTTGCTCACCAATGTCAGATAACGTGGAGATCACAAACAAACAAACCATCTTTCCATCGTAATGAAAATCCAAAGCATTGTTACTCAAAAATAGCTTTCTGCTATCACTGGCACACATTTAAGGCAGTTGAAGTAAACACCTTTTTTCCCACGATTCAGGAAAAATTACTCCAAATACTGGCATCACTTCTGGGATTACCGTTACGGGAATTGTTTCACTTTTAACGGTGGGATGGACGATGATAAGAAAAATCAAACAACCTTGGCTACTCACAGCACTGGACCCTATGGAGGTGAGAAAAAAACAAACAAACAAACAAACAATCAAGGTGAACTCGTAATTAACAATAGATAGTAACTTAACACGTTTTAACGTTAAAAATGTCAACGTAACTTTAAGGGAAAAAAAGAAGATCATATAATAAGCTATTGCCGAGTTGCCTCTTTTTCATAACGAGTCCTGGTGCACAACTTTTTATATGGAAATGAGTTTGATTTGCAAGACAATGAACGTGCAAGAAAATCTCAAAAATTGAGAGATGAAAGGTTGTGCACCAAGACTCATTTTGAAACAGAGGTAACAGCAACCCGAAAAAAGGCCTATTGTTGGGTATCCGTAAGTAATACCGTGGGGTGAACGTAACTGCGTAAACCTATTTCAAGTGTACCAATCACCATTAATATATTGTGATTTTTTTCCCTATATGGTGAAAGGCAAATATTATATCTAAGTGGTGACCGTATGTTTCGTTATTGTTGACACATTTTGGTTCATATTTCGTTAGCGTCTTTATAGTGTTATTCTTGTTAGCAGCATTTTACTGCATTGGAAAAATGCACCGACGAAACACAATCCAAGAAAAGGAATCCAGGACGTTTGCTTTTATTTTCTCATTTGGTGTCAAATGGAGCAAGTTACTTTCAGCATATAGCTTTGAAAAGCTAAACCCAGTGGGTGTGCTCATCTCGACCTTGTACTCTCATTTTGCCGTTTTGTTTTTTGTTGTTTTTCACCTTTCTTAACATAAGATAGCAACATTGTCAGTTATAACGCATAAGCCCAAAGCGCTAGAGACAAGTTGTCCACAAACCTACCATCAATACACCTACCATCCCTATACATAAAGTGTTAAGTCCACATAGGATGAGATCCTTTAATCTTGTTTCTCCTTGTTTCGTATATTTGATTGATTTATTATTTTCTTCCCAAATCCCATAGGACTTACCTTGAACCTCTTTATCGAGACCGGTCAATATGTACCAGAGGTTAGTCAGGCTGCCGGGGCCAGGATTGTCATCCATAACCAAGGGGAGATGCCTTTTCCGGATGAAGATGGAATCAACCTCGTTCCGGGATTTTCTACTTCTGTTGGAGTTAGAAGGGTATATATCTTAATAATTGTTATCAAAAAAAGACACTCACATATTCAGTGACAGTTCAATTGCGATCCCCAGTCTAGCCCATTTATGTACCAGTCTAGCCCAGTATGTACCAGTGCTCTTCGAAGGATTTATATTCGTGTAAGTCTAAATGCTAAAGTCTAAATACTACTATCAATACTGTTTCAAATCTCTAATTACCTTCTAATACTATTATAATTACAATGTATTATACTAGTAATTCAAACAAAATAAAATCAATTAAGTGACTAAAGTAAAACAAGAATGCCTGCTTTCCATGAATGTCGTGTGTTTATGCTATTTACATGCGTTAAAAGAGACCGCTGCAGCCGGGTTTAAAACTGTTGAGAGTTTGATGAACTGAATGATGAGAACTCAGTGATTTTTTTGTAGCTCGAGCACAAACTGTTTCGCTTATGCCAATGGGAAAAATCGCATCTTAAACAAAAAACGAAAACCACCGAGATCCTGGTCCATGCTTTTGTGTCTTCCAAACTCGACCACTGCAACTCTCTTTTGTACAATGTACCGAAGTGTGCTTTAAAAAAGCTCCAGTCTGTTCAGAACGCCGCTGCCCGACTTATCACGTGTTCCCGAAAGTACGACCACATCACTCCAACACTGAAAGAATTACACTGGCTTCCTGTTTCTGAACGCATTAAATTCAAGATTATGTTACTTACCTTTAAGGCTCTTCATCAACAATCTCTTGTCTACATTCAAGATCTAGTAGCGTACTACCAACCTTCCAGAATCCTCCGATCATCATACTTATTACTTCTTAACCCCACGAATTTTCACCTGAAGACATATGGTTCTCGAGCTTTTGCTGTTTCCGCTCC